TAAACAAGTAAGAAAGTCTAAGTTCGGGCGGAGCCGAACATTAAATACCCGGCGCAAGTATTAAATATATGTTTTCCACCTTTCCGAAAGCTACCGCTACATGATAAGCCGGGGTGTATACATTTTAAGTAAATTAGCGTCCTTAAATTTCGAAATATTGAAATTTCAAGCATTTCTGAAATTTGCCGTTATATGAAAAGCGGCCTCAATTTTAGTCCGATTTCAACAATTTTCAACGGTTTGCTTTTATGTGGCAAGCACAATAACCATACCGAGCTTGGTACAAATTGCTAGAACGGTTAACGAGATACATATATGTGATCACAAGTGGGCGGTGCTACGCCCATTTTCCAAAATTTTGTCATAAACGTATTTCTTGGTAAAGAATTGTTGCAACCATCAATTTTGAATAAATTAGCTTCAATATTTACTGATTTATCGAAGATTTTGTATTTCTGGAAAATACCGTTATATGGGAGGTAGGCGTGGTTATTGTCCGATTTTTAAAATTTTCAGCCATTTAGTATGCTGTACTAAGGCCAACAACTGTGCCAAGTTTGGAAGAAATTGGTGCAGCGGTTACCTAGATATACACATGTAACCATAAGTGGGCGTGGCTACGCCCGTTTGCAAAAATTTTGTAATATTCTTATTTTTCGTCTAAAACTCATTGCAAATATCAATTTTGAGTGAATTATCTTCAGTAGTTACTTAAATATCGCAGTTTTCGTTTTTCTGAAAATTACCGTTATATGGGAGGTAGGCGTGGTTATTGTCCGATTTTTAAAATTTTCAGCCATTTAGTATGCTGTACTAAGGCCAACAACTGTGCCAAGTTTGGAAGAAATTGGTGCAGCGGTTACCAAGATATACACATGTAACCATAAGTGGGCGTGGCTACGCCCATTTTCCAAAAATTTATAATATTCATGTTTTCCGTCTGAAACTCATTGTAAGTATCAATTTTGAGTGAATTATCTTCAGTAGTTACTAAAATATCGCAGTTTTCGTATTTCTTAATATTACCGTTATATGGGAGGTAGGCGTGGTTATTATCCGATTTCGCCCATTTTCAATACCATCCGTCCCACGCCCAAAAGAAGTTCACGTACCAAGTTTCGTTAAGATATCTCAATTTTTACTCGAGTTATCGTGTGCACAGACGGACGGACAGACAGTCACCGCTTAATCGATTTCTCTTTTCATTCTGATCATTTATGTATACATTTGTCTATATCTATCTCGATTCGTTTTGCCTGTTACAAACAACCGTTATGTGAACAAAGTTATAATACCCTTGTGCACAAGTGCGCTCGGGTATAAAAAACAGGGGTATATTTTTTTCGGTATAGAACAATCCTAGGGGGTGAGAGCATTAAATTTCCGATTTTACTTTTCTCCGATACATTTTTGGACCACCCTAATGTACATACGTATATCGCTAGCTAAGAGTGAAAAGTTGCTAAGTCCACTTTTTATGAAAACTCATATTTTGACAAAGGAGTCTAGATGTTTCGAAAATCATAAAGGATCTTGTTTTATTTATTCTCGTTTATATTGAATGAAAGGAAAATTTGCTAAGTCCAAAAGAAGCCCGAAAATCCGATAAGGCCAAAATAGTACGAAATCTTTTATGGAGATCGAATCCCTCTGATACGTATGGAGCTTTGCTTTGCTTTAAACAACTAAAATGATGTACTAAAAGTTTTCCGAAGTATTTTAAGAAAATTGCTATAAGAGCATTTTTTTTCCTTTCCTGTAAAATTTTTAAAATGGGACTTAACAACTTTTCACTGTAAGCTGCATGTACATACGTACATATGTATATCTACAAAAACGCTAAAAATTCTAAGAAAATTGGCGTGTTTTTTTACACGTATACGTGTCTGCGCTTAAAATTTGTATGGAGCAGTAAGCGACAAACTTTATGTGCGCTTATGAATAGTTGTCAATAAAATCAAAATTACTTGTTTTCAAATGGAAATTGTCGATGCTTGTTTTTTCACACGTTAAGCGTAGATGTACATATATGCTTGTAACGGGTGATTTTTTTGAGGTTAGGATTTTCATGCATTAGTATTTGACAGATCACGTGGGATTTCAGACATGGTGTCAAAGAGAAAGATGCTCAGTATGCTTTGAAATTTCATCATGAATAGACTTACTAACGAGCAACGCTTGCAAATCATTGAATTTTATTACCAAAATCAGTGTTCGGTTCGAAATGTGTTTCGCGCTTTAAATTTTGTTCAGCGATGAGGCTCATTTCTGGTTGAATGGCTTCGTAAATAAGCAAAATTGCCGCATTTGGAGTGAAGAGCAACCAGAAGCCGTTCAAGAACTGCCCATGCATCCCGAAAAATGCACTGTTTGGTGTGGTTTGTACGCTGGTGGAATCATTGGACCGTATTTTTTCAAAGATGCTGTTGGACGCAACGTTACGGTGAATGGCGATCGCTATCGTTCGATGCTAACAAACTTTTTGTTGCCAAAAATGGAAGAACTGAACTTGGTTGACATGTGGTTTCAACAAGATGGCGCTACATGCCACACAGCTCGCGATTCTATGGCCATTTTGAGGGAAAACTTCGGAGAACAATTCATCTCAAGAAATGGACCGGTAAGTTGGCCACCAAGATCATGCGATTTGACGCCTTTAGACTATTTTTTGTGGGGCTACGTCAAGTCTAAAGTCTACAGAAATAAGCCAGCAACTATTCCAGCTTTGGAAGACAACATTTCCGAAGAAATTCGGGCTATTCCGACCGAAATGCTCGAAAAAGTTGCCCAAAATTGGACTTTCCGAATGGACCACCTAAGACGCAGCCGCGGTCAACATTTAAATGAAATTATCTTCAAAAAGTAAATGTCATGGACCAATCTAACGTTTCAAATAAAGAACCGATGAGATTTTGCAAATTTTATGCGTTTTTTTTTAAAAAAAAGCTATCAAGCTCTTAAAAAATCACCCGTTACAAAAAACACGACTAATATATCCAACGATTTTGATAACATTCGTTAGGTCACTTGCGATGAGCAACAATTTTTTAGCTATGAATTTTACGCAACATAAAAACTTTTTTTTTTTCAAAAATCTGTACAGTATGCTATGGTACTCATTACGTCTTATGAACATAAAAATGTATATGGGCAAATCTAAAAAACAGCTGATTGCTTTTGGATATAATTCATAGACGTACATATGTATACTTGAAGCCTCAAAAAAATTTTGAATCAATTTGTTGCATAACTTTTGAGATATAGATACTCGTATATTTTCATTGAAAAAAATATTAAAAACAAGTGAATTTTTTGTGTCATTTTTAAGAGGTGAAAAATTATTTATGTCATAACCAGGGAACGGATTTTTAGGACCTAAAAACCTATAAAAAAGGCAAAACAAAATAGCGAAAAAGGCAAGAAAAGGCACTAGGTATTGCAAAAAAAGCAAAATAAGGTACTAAAAATAGACAGAAAATACGAAGAACAATCAAAAAATACATTTATTTTAGAAATGTTTATATTACAAGTAAAAAGAGACGTTTCATTATATGAAAAATTTGTACTTTGAATCTTTGACTATTTTATCCTTTCGAGTTTCTAACTCACAAAACTTTAATCTGTATAGTTGTAGTAACATTGAACGACAAGATGCATTTTGAAGTTTTCTGGCAGCATTTTCATTCGATTTTCGCAATTTCCATAAAATCCGTTCCCTGATTATGACTTTTTGGCTTTTTTCAGTTTGTTATGATTCTTGCCATATACATAGCTTCGGAAATAAACCCTAATTTTGTGCAGACCTAAAAACCGTCTCTCGCAAACAAGGACATTTAAAAAATTGGGAACCAAAAATTAAAAATTTTTCAATGGAAAAAGTATAGTATCATCGACTTTTATTGTTATATCTTTGCAAAATATTCCTCGATTCTTTTTGAAAGATAAAATTTAGGGCTAATAGGGCTTAAGGATCAAGGATGCATCGTAACGTTAAGTTTCACGTTAATCAAATAATTTCAATCGTTTCGGTTGGAACATTTCGAAATATATTTGTTAAATCATTTCTCAAAACAAATTTCGTTACGGTTTTAACCGAAACGAAAAGGTGCCGTTAATGTTGAAACGTTAATAAAAACGTTAAACATTTAATTTGAAGTGTGCTGGCAATGCCATAACAAGCAGTCAGCACCGTTGCCGTTTTGATACAATTGTATCATTTTTTGATATATATTTTTTTCTAAATTGTAAGATTTGATACTTTGATACTTTTTTGTTCACAAATGTCCCATTTTGATACTTTTCGCTGGCAGAGATGAATTTTTCAAAATTATTAATAATGTAATGGGTATTCATGGAAACGCGTAAATACCTCCTAATTATAAAATTGTATTTATTTGTTTTTGAAATAAAAGTTTACAAATAACAGTTTTGTGATACTTTTCCTGCTCGGCAACTGTTCCTTTTTTCAAGCTCGTGGCAACGCTGGCAGTCAGCTGTGTGGGGATTAGGGATGTTAATTTTTCGGCTTTTTCCGATCCCGGGATTTTCGGGATGGCGTTGTCACAATCCCGGGATTAGTCCCGGGATTCAGATATTCATTAATTTTCAACAACTTGAATCGAAAGAAATTGCTTGTATATTGTTTGAGCAGCTCTCCTACCATGAAATAAATAATAAGTAAATGGGTTTGAAACCTACTTTTTTATGTAAAGTGGCGTTTTTACTTTTTTTCTCTGACCGCAGGATTTATTTTGAAGGACTTTGTAATTGCGGAGATATGATTAATTCCAAAAATTGTTTAAAAAATTCAATGCAATGTAGAATCAAAATATGGGTAACAAATGCAATAGGAAATTTCTTTGGAATTTAAAAAATTTTAATTTTTTGGATTCACACTCGCTTCAAGCTCGAGTACACTGTCTTCATCTGGCGACCATATTGTGACTTTCATATTAACAGAATTGAACGAATCCAAAAATCCTTAATTCGTTATGCTCTACGATCACTACATTTTGTTGACCCTTTCCCATCTTACACTGCTAAATGCATGAAATGTTTATTTTCTAGATTATTAATTAATAAAAAAATAAATATGTAAATAAATCGAATCTATTGGGAAAATACATACACAAATATTCCGACGAATTGATAACTTCATACCTATTTTGAAGTCGATTAAAAATAATTCTTAAGTAATACGAGTAGTCCATCGAGTATACGTAAATATTCCATTCAATACACTTACCATCGTCATCGTTCAGCAGATGTGCGTCCGATCTGCTCGATGAATTCGCACCCATGCTGCATGTATTTGTTGTTAATCTACATATGTACTATCTATATTTATGAATGAAATGGATCGTGATTGTTTCACTCAGCAGCTTTCTTTTTTATGTGCAATCAGCTTTGCTATTTTAAGTTGTACATAATCAGCTTGCCAATTAATGTTTTTAACGCAAATCGTTGCAAAAGACTGATGTGAATATGTTGACGTACGTTCATTTTATAATAGTTATAATAGTAGAGTATAACTACTGAAGTCACTATTCACTACCAATAATCATCATAAACAGGATACTAATTACACATATTTAATTTAAGTTGTTTATTTGTGAGTGGGCCACAGAAATTTTTTTTTATTTTAGCATCGCGAATGCTTGACTTAGTTGATGATGTGTACGGCTTAAAATGAGTACTGCTCCTGGCAACCGCAGGAACGGCATAATTTTTCTAAATGAATTCGTATT